TGTAGTGGAATACATTTTAAAAATAACCTTCCCAACACTGGTTAGAGCTGAGAGTAGGAAGCGTCTGATGGACTCACCGAGGAGCAGACAGACACAGGCAGTCTTCATGCTGTCTGGATGACGACCGACTGAAGTGCGACAGAACAAGGACTTCAGCAACAGCACCGTCACTTCCCTGTTCACACCTCCAGCGTCACTGACCAAACCTGCTGCTGTGACAGATGTTTAAAGTCATGTATGCTTTAAAGCAGCTGAGATGTCGTTTGAGTTTCTGTAAGAGATTTAACACAAAGTGCAGCTACACTGTTTCCCTTTATTATCTAGTTTTAATATGTTTGTGTGGGTTGGGGTAAAATTTTGCTGCCCCACATAACCTTATGATGCCATTTATTTAATGTCATTGTGTCATTAGGCTTAATTAGGTCATTTACATTGTTATGCAAGATGGTGCTAATGCTTTGAGTTCCTTGACAATTAAACGGATTCACTGTCTCAATCGTGACATCAGCTTTGTGTTTGACGTGTAAGAGTTTAACTTCAGGGATGAATTATTGAATCCTGTTAAGCCCCACGCCCCTGGTACCGGGGGCAAAAGGGGGAGATCACGTTCAATCAGTTATAACACGGGTCAGAAATATAAGTTCCACAGAAACCTCTGAATCTCAGCTAAAAGCTCATCGAAACCATTATCTGCAACCACCAAACCCTACAAAAACAAGCCATGATTAAGAGCTTTTGCAGGTGTGAGCCGTGATGTTGAAAGGGTAGAGTGAAATAGAAAGGTTCATACAGTGAATGTTAATAGATATCTTATCTACTGTAATATTGATTGATGCTAGGTGCTAAGTGTAATTTTCTAAATGTGATTTCAGACATAATTTTCCCCAAAATAACAAATAAACCTCAATGAAACTCATTTAACAGGGAACAGCTTACAACTTACAAAGACAATTACGGAATTATGGATGGAAATTCTTCAAGTTCATTTGGACAAAGACTCAGACAGGAATGTTTGTGGTGAGAAACTTTAATAGTTTATCACTAAAGCAGAGAAACTGTGTAATACATACACAGTCACATCTGTCATGTCTGAAAAAAAAGACAGAATGAAGAAGAATTAAGGACGAGGTCGTCCATCGGCATGACTTCCATTAATTAATTAATGAAGAAATGAGCTGTGATGAGGTCCCCATGCACCCGTCTGCAATGCAGAACCACATCATCGCCTGTCCTCACAGGAGGTGCAGGGATCTAATGGACCAGCCCTTTATCTGAGGAACAGAGACAGAAACAGTGATGCAGAGACAGAGTTAATGATAACGGAGACACAGCTGGAACATCTGACTGTCTGTACTTGAAACACTGATGGACACTTCATCGCTCTGCTGTCCAGATGAGTTCTCACAGAAGTAACTTCCCCCAGAGGAGACGGAGCGATCCAGAACACAGGAGGAACCATGAACTCTCCCAAAGCCTGCAGCTGCTCCACAGTCCTCAGTGAGTCCTCCTCTGCTCCTCTTCACTGTCCATCCATCAGCTGTCTGTCCATCATCAACACAACTCAGAGACACTGAAGAAGATCCTCTGAAGACCTGCTGAAGGTTTGGACTGACAGACAGAGACACTG